TTTCCGCTGTGGTTTTTTTTTTTTTTTTTTTTTTTTTTCTTTCATTTTAAACTGGCTAAAGGAAAAGTTCAAAGCAGGTGAGTGAAATTATTTTGTCTCACGTGATCTCTTCTGTACTAACAAGTAACATTTGAATTTGTGCATTGGATATTCATTCCATGACTTTCAGTCTCTGACAATCTCATGCTGAAGTATTAATAGAGGCCTTGCTTTATTTTTTAAAGGTATTTGCCACAGGATGTGTGCACTCATGGGAGAAAGACAGAGATGCTGTGCAAGGGAAGGTGAGAAATCATCTGCCTTATTTTTATTTATTTTTTAAAGGTATTTGCCACGGGATCTGTGCACTCATGGGAGAAAGACAGACAGATGCTGTGCAAGGGAAGGTGAGAAATCATCCCCTCAGTGCGGATGGTCACAGCACAATCCCTTCTCCATTTTCCTCCTGGGATTTTGGGCACACACACATATGCATTTGGCATGATTTTCAGTCTGCTAGGTCTGGGACTCAAACAGTGGTCTGCCATGTGGAAGTCTGGTGCCTTAAACCACTACTCCACCTGTTGGCCTCTGCCTTACTGTTCTAATGCTATTAACTTATTCAATAGTAGTATGTACAACTATTTATTCAGTGCCAAATAAATGTAGTGAATTTCACTTTTGACTTCATGAGAAAGGGCAAGTACAAATTGTGGTAAGTGTAATGAAAGAATAAGAGACTATTACAAGAGAAAATGGCAAAATAAGTGAAGTTTGTACAGGAATTGATATTTAAAATGATACTTGAGTAATGTGGTAGATTTTTTTTATATGAATAACTTTCCAAGAATAGTTAATGCAGAGGAAAAACAGTTATGTAACCAGCTGCCCTAGGACAACGTGGAGTTTGCTGCATCAGTGAAGTAGAAAAAGGTCCCTGACCATCTGAGAGTTTTTCTAGAATTGTGGTTGATTGTCAATTTATTCTGAATATCCCTGAAACCACAAATGTTCCTAATTAATTAAATCTTCCAAAATTTCAAACATACTTAATGTCAAATATACAAATTCTAGTGTAGAAAAAATTTAATGATTAAAGATATTTGATATGACAAAAAGCGGATCAATTATTAGTGTTAGTATTGTTTCTATATTTGCTTTGGGTATTAAATTATTAGCATTCAAATTGGTACTATTGATGTTACTGATACTGGTATATTATTGGAAATTAAAAGTTTTCAGTTGTCTATTATTAATAAGATATAATATTAAGTTTTTAAAACATCTCATTTTTTTCCTCACAATGGTTATATACTGAATTATCATAAATATGTATATTATCATGACAGTATCATGGATCCAGGAGAATCAAAATAACTTCATCAAGATTGCAACTACTATAAAAAGAACAATTATCAAAATTCATGTGTTTCTGACTGAGATTTAAGCCATTAAAAATATAATAAGGGTGCATGACACTGGATCTTGCATGGCTGACGTCCTATGGTTTGAGTCCCAGACTCAGTGGCTTGGAAAACACATCAGGTACATATAGCTTTACAGTGTCTTACATGTACATGCATAAGCATACACAAAATCCTGAGAGCGTTGTCTTTCTGGATCTGTCTCTGTCCATGAGCACACACTCACTATGGCCAAAAATTCAGTTATTATTGTGCATACACTTACAGAAAAATTGATACTACAAAGATTTAAATGAAACTAGGCACAGAGTGATTTAAAATATGATAGGCCTTAACTACTAAGAGAAAACTTAATTAATGGACATTTCCAGGAGAGTAGAGAAACTTCCACCTTGAAATACTTGACCCTGCGGGAACCAGCAATTAGCATAATGGCTATGTCGCTGGACTCCCACGAAGTCGACTGCAGTTCGCGTCCTGGACTCAGTGGCTTAAAACTCACACCGGGCACATGTGCGTGCGTGCCCAAGATCCCGAGAGGAGAATGGAGGAGAAGGGATTGCGGCGTGGCCATCCC